ACCTCCGAACACCTCCCGCCTCCGTTCCAACAATCTATCCACTCCCCTCACAACACACAGATCATCGATTCTCACTTTCTTTCAAATCATTCGTTCACTCATTCATTTCCTTTTTTTATTTGTCTGTTTGTTTATGTACACACACACACACACACACACACACACACACACACACACACACACAGATAGATAGATAGATAGATAGATAGATAGATAGATATGTACGTATGTATGTATGTTTTTGAACGTCAACACCCATCCCCATCCCCAAGTCATAATGACCTCGCCCCTGGTTGTCAAGTTCTCACGCACAACTCACGTTTTACCCGAGGTAAAAAGAATTTTTTTTTCTTTTTATTTGTTTTCTTTTGTTAGATTTTGTGTTGCTTTTTTAAAAAAGCAGTCCTTCTCCCGATCCATGAACAAAATTGCCCCCCAGGGATATTTTCGTTTTTGTTTCAATTACTTTTTATTAAAAACATACATAATTTTATATTTTCTATTTTTAAATAGTTTTATAATTTGAGTCTTTCCATTTATTCTCCTCTTTCTTTCTTTCCTTCTTTCTTTCTTTTTTCTTTCTTTCTTTCTTTATTTATACTTTATTGATTTGTACTATTTGTTATTATTTGAATGTTTGTTTGCCCGATTTTCTTTTTTCTTTTTAATATTTTCACTTTTTGTTTTTTTGTTTTTTTTACAAGTTTTGTTGTTTTTCTTTTTGTTGTTTTTTTTTTTTTTGCTTTTTTCAAAGAATTGACATCTTTTGTTCTGAAGTGATAGTATTTCGACAATATTTCAGAAAGAACGGAGGGAAAGAAATCCAGGAAAATTTTGGAAGGAAGGACGAAAAGGAAGGAAAAAAGAGAAGGAAGGAAGGAAGGAAGGAAGGAAGGAAGGAAGGGAAGAGAAGGAAGGAAGGAAGGAAGGAAGGAAGGAAGGAAGGAAGGAAGAAGAAGGTAGGAAGGAAAGGAAGGAAAAAGAAGGAAGGAAGAGAAGGTAGGAAGGAAGGAGGAAAAGGTAGGAGGAAGGAAAAAAGGAAGGAAGGGAAAGAAAGGAAGGAAGTCAGAGAAAAGGAAGGAAGGAAGGAAGAGAAGGTAGGAAGGAAAGAAGGAAAGAAAAGGAAGGAAGGAAGGAAGGAAGGAAGGAAGGAAGGAAAGGTAGGAAGGAAGGAAGGAAGAAAAGGAAGGAAAAAAGGAAGGAAGGAAGGAAGGAAGGAATGAAGGAAGGAAGGAAGAGAAGGTAGGAAGGAAAGAAAGGAAGGAAGGAAGGGAAAGAAAGGAAGGAAGGAAGAGAAGGTAGGAAGGAACGAAGGAAGAAAGGAAGGTAAAGAAAGGAAGGAAAAGGAAGGAAGGGAAGGAAGGAAGGAGGAAGGAAGGAAGGAAGGAAGGAAGGAAGAGAAGGTAGGAAGGAAGAAAAGGAAGGAAGGAAGAGAAGGTAGGAAGGAAGGAAGAAAAGAAAGGAAGGGAAGGAAAGAAAGGAAGGAAGGAAGAGAAGGTAGGGAAGGAAGGAAAGGAAGGAAGGAATGAAGAAGGAAGGAAGGAAGGAAGGAAGGAAGGAAATGAAGGAAAGGAAGGAAGGAAGGAAGGAAGGAAGGAAGGAAGGAAGGAAGGAAGGAAGGAATGAAGGAAGAGAAGGTAGGAAGGAAAGAAGGAAAGAAAAGGAAGGAAGGAAGAGAAGGAAAGAAAAGGAAGGAAGGAAGGAAGGAAGGAAGGAAGGAAGAGAAGGTAGGAAGGAAGGAAGAAAAGGAAGGAAGGAAGAGAAGGTAGGAAGGAAGGAAGGAAGGAAGGAAGGAAGGGAAGGAAATGAAGGAAAGGAAGGAAGAGAAGGTAGGAAGGAAAGAAGGAAAGGAAGGAAAGGAAGGAAGGAAGGAAATTGAAATAAGATTAAAAAATAGTACTGAATGAGGTATGAAGGGCAAAGTATTATTAAAAGTAAAGGAAAATGAACAGTGAAAGTAAAGAATGAAGAGAAAATTGAATATAAAAAAAATGAAACCGACCTGAGATGAAACAAGAAATATATAAAGACAGGGAAGAAAAACGAAAGGATAAATAACAGAAAAGGAAGGAAGGAAGGAAGGAATTTGACATTAGATTTTTAAAGGCGAAACTAGAAATGTGATACGACAAGAAGAAAAAAGAATTAGTAGAAGTAAGAGAAATAAAGAGATATTAAATAAAAAAGAAAGACAAAAAGAAAGAGTGTTGGTTGAGAAAAAATAAAAGAAGCATTGAATGAGACAAGAAGGATAAAGAACGATTAAATGTGAAGAAAAATAATGGCGTAATAAACCGAAAAATTAGAAAGAATCAAGTTGGACTTAAATGGAAATATGTAATAGAAGGAACTGAATGAAGAAAAAAGCACAAAGAATTATTATCAGAATAGAACAGACGGGATAATTAGCAGAAAAAAAAACGAACGAAGCTCTCTTAATAAGAATAAGAAAAGAAGCAATAAAGAAGTGAATTGAAACATCTTTAGAGACGGGAAGCATACGCCAGAAAGGACAAATCAGTAAGAGAATGATCGTAAAAACGAGGACGAAAGAAAAGCGAATAAAGATTCAAATAAAAGAGGGAAAAATGAAAGCTAAACAGACGTTAAACATCTTCGTGGTTAAAAAGAAATAAGGGGGAAAACAGATGACAGATGGAGAGGTTCGAGAAAAACACAAATAGGAAGGAAGGAAAGCAAAGCATATAAGAGAAGTAAAGGGTTTTGCAACATTCTCCCCCTTCACTTCAAGTAGAAGAACTTCAAGTAGAATAGCTTAAAGGTGAACGATTTCTTTCGGAAAAATATTTTTCCCATACAACCTTTCTACACCCATCGTCCCATTGCTCTCAAATCATCAATTGTGGATCTTCAGAAGCCCACGCTATCCGGCCCGAAAATATCGTTATTGGACGACAGAACCAAGTCTTCGTTCATGCTAAAAAAATGTATGCGCATATGTCCTTGTAGCATCTGACACAAGTGACGATTGTTTGTGCATTTATTAGAGTGCATTTATGTGTTTGTCAATGTCATCTGTGCATAAGGAAGTGTTTTTAAAGTGGGTGCATATTTTTGTCTCCGTGCTTGAGTCTAAATGAGCTTGTGTGAAAATATATAGACCTCTTTTAATTCGTGTCAACAGTTACTTACTAAAATCAGCTTAGCAAGGAACAAGGCCATGAGAGCAATGAAAAATGTGACACGTTGACGAAATTCACGATCGTCTTAGGTATGACGATAAACTACATATGGCAGCAAGGCCTCTAATCGGGAGGTTTTGAACAACATGGAACCACCTCTTAATTGCCGTTGTTCCCAGGTCCACCCTGATCCGGAATGGTAGCACCTGTTAGGGTCCTAACTATGGGCAAATAGTGAACCCCCCAATCAAAAATCAACAGTACATTTTTATATTTAAATGAATAGCAATAATTATTTTTTTTTTATATAGGAATAAAATGCCGCTGGTGATTCTATTTTGAATAAGTAGATCATGTGATGCCAAAGGAAATGTATATATGACAATTAGCGTGGCATCTAAATGATCACTATATCTACCCTGTCTTCTATTGCTATAATGATCGCTATTCTTTATACTATTCACTATACTATTCACTCTGCTGATCACTACATAGATTACTATTCGGTGGTTACTTTTCAAGTTAGTATTAACGAGCAAGTAGTATTAGTGTAAATGTTATTTGAAGGCGTCTGATACCAACGTTGTCCGATGGCGTTACTATAGCTGTATCTGCGATTACAAAGTCTCTACTACAACGAGCATTACGAAAGTGACAACGAGTATTTGTCGACATCACAAAATGTCTTATTCCTCAACAACAACAAAAATTGACATCTTGAATTCCAGCAGTAACTATTATCTATTTTATATCCTCATAATATGGGACTTAGCGCGGCGTCTAATTGATCACTATTTCTACACTATCCTCTATTACTATCGCGATTCTCTTTACTATCCTCGATACTATTTCTTTATACTGATCACTATATGGATTACTATTCGGATTACTATACGGATTACTATTTGAGCGAGTATTATCGTGTAAGTACTATTAGTACAAGTGTTATTCGAAGGCTTCTGACACCAGTATTGTTCAACGGTGTCACTATAGTTGTATCTGTAATTACAAAATATCTATTACAACGTGCATTATGAAAGTGACAACGAGTATTCGTTGACATCACAAAAGTGGCAACGAGTGTTCGTTAACATCACAAAAACTTTTATAGCAAAATGACAATATATGGAACTATAAAAATACATTTTTAGAGAAAAATTAACAACAAAACATTTTATAATCTACAAATTATATATCTAAAAACATAGCTTTAATGTATGAAATTATGTACAAAATATCTGTTGTTGAAAGCATAAAAGTTGAAACTTGACTAATGCATGGAATAATAATGCAACACAAAATGTACTTAGAACAAAATGTATTGAAACAAGAAAGTGTACACAATATTTACATATAGTCTTTTGTATATTCCTGGGAAGACCGTTCCTGGAGAATGTGTTTACTTAGTCGCAGTCGGGCAGAGTCTCTGGATTGAATCTCTTGATTCCTCCTACTCTCTTCCCGGTACCAATCATATTTATATGGTCGGTACTCCACTATGCAAATTAGGTGGATCCTACCACAGCAATAAAATTACGTATAAAAATATTTAGATTTCAGCATTAAATAACGACCCGGAATAGAGACAAAGAACCATGGTGACTAGTCCAGATTTGTTTCCATTAAAAAGCTAAAAATGTCATCAAATTGTCCGTAAAACCTTTTCACTATCCCTAATTGTTGTAGCATACCTACGGCCAATAATGGATATGTCCCCATTCACATAAATACAGTACTAAATACTGTATGGTTGCCTGCAGTTGGAGATTCGTCCTCAGCTGTGCTGGTCAAATTCTTTACATCCGAGCAAAGAGGATCCCCAGATGAGTCGAAGGGCAGAGTTAACAGCTACTCGACCCCGTTAAATTCGGCATTGTGCCAAATCTGACCGCGTGGGGCAGTGGGTAGATATCCTGCAATTGGGGATTCGTCTCCAGCTGTGCTGGTCAAACTCTCTACCTCCGGGCAGAGAGGATCCCCAGAAAGGCTATGTCGGGAGGGCAGTTTCGTCTCGGGAAACAGCTACCCGACCCCGTTTTATACGGGGTCTACGGGGAATTTTTAGCCGAGCTTGGGGTCTGGGATACCCACTGTGGCACCATTTACAAGGGCAAAAAGAAAAGAAAGGAAAAAGAGAAAGGAAAGCAAGGAAAAGAGAGGCGAGACCCAAGCGTGGATGATAAAAAAACACCCACGACCAGAGACAATTGACAATGTTATTTTGATAAGTAGCAAATGGCGAAAAGTGTCATTACCATGGCAGAAAAATTCTAAGTGGATAAGGGAATCGACTATGTTCTGGCGACGAACTTGTGTTATCGGGGATAGATAACAGCCGCGTAATGCGGGCAAAACATCTAATTAGCAAACCACAGACCGACTAGCCAACAAAACTCCAATTGAAAATGTTATTTTGATAATTGACAAAGAACAGGTGAAATACAGGGCTTTGGATAGATATAAAAATTAACTGTGTCGTCTGCTAGGCCGCACACGAAGTAACGGCTGACCGTTTTTTTTTTTGACAAGACATCTTTGGCTGTGATAACAGAAATATGTTATCAGAAATTTGCGCCAAAGTATGACTAGAACAATAAAGCTGTTTTTTCGAGAGGACGATGTTTTGCTGACCACCCATTCTGATAATTAGCGAAAATCTGACTGACGAGATCCAGATGAAGAATAGATTTTATGACACTACTGGTCGCATTGTTCTGTTGGCGGCCAGAGAAGGTGAGAGCTGCGATTAAGGAAAGAAAAGGAAGAGAAAAAGATAATTTTTTTTTGAGCAAGATATTTTTTTTTTCCTGAAACAAAGCCCGCTGGACCGCACACGCCCGGCTGAACATCATTGGCCGAGTGGTGATCACGTGACGCAAGGAGGGAAGCTGTCGCCGCCCACCTAGAGGATGGGTATGAGTGGTTGCTACGAAGAAGTGGGGAGGACAGTTGACGCCCCTCTGAAGTATGGTGAGAAGGTGGGAGTAAGAGAAGACTCTCAAAAATGGAAAAAAGTGGAAAATTCCTAACCAAAAATAAAAGAAGTGGATATGTATTTAGAATTATCGAGGAACCTCCGACGCCGACAAACCCACCCCGGTTTTGATCGGCGTCCATATAAGCAAAGTCGCAGCGAGCAGAAATCAGTACAGCTGAGTTGGGGTTAAAAAGACAGGCAAACAATTGAGCTGTGAGCTCTGAGACAGCCTCGCAGAAAGCTGACTTAAGATTCGCGCACTTCCGAACTCGTCTTCAATTCAAGAACACTTTATTTTGAAGAGCGACTTAGATCCATACCACCAAAATGAGTTTTTCGACTTTCGCCTGAAGACACACCAAGAACCAATTTCTTAAAGAACAGACAACGTAAAGTGTTAAAACTCGCCTAACAAAAGAACAACGTGTCACAATCCATATAGCGGGTCGGGAGATAGACGCAGTCCTATGTATCCAACAACTAGACATAAAGTTTTGTTATCCTTTTTTTCTTTGATACCTTGAACTTTTGAGTTATCATTTTATTTTATTTTATGCATATTTGTGCGGTGTCACCCTCGTTGAACTCGATTTGCATTACGGCCCCAACTACTGATTGATTTCGTCTGCCTAAGATCAATTCACAACGTGGATAGGCAGACTGGAGATCAACGCAGTTACTTTGGTAACCAGATGTTGGAAGTGAGTTGGGAACGACGAGGCTGATATCGAATCTAACCAGATTCCCATCCGAATCACCAAAAGGTTAGAACGTCACATTTGGGTGCCGCGACCGATACCAAGCCAGTTGGTCGTCACAGGACGGGACAACACGACTGACGCAAACAGGTGGACGTCACGTTTGGAGCGGCGACACCCGAACGAAGCAGCGAGGAGCGAGCGAAGGCTGTGTTTAGGGACGTCACACCACATTAAATTCGGCTTTGTGTCACATCTGACGGCATGGAGCGGTTGGTTGATATCCTGCTGTTGGAGATTCATTGTGGAATTTAATTGTTTCACCTCTAACTACTACTTCTACGCGCCGCTGTCGAATCTTATACGCCCTTGTTCTTGTCCTAAGTATTATCGTTCATTACCAACCTTCGTGGGATTATTCTATTCAGTAACCTTCCTTAGGCTGGAACATTAATATATTCTCTTTTTAAAATAAAAAGTATTTGATTGTGATCGGAAAAGAAATGACAATTCGCTTTAAATAAATTGCTGAAAAGATATTGTGATTTCCCCCGTTGTCGCTGCGCCAATCGTGACGTCTGCCTGGCCGCGCCCGCCGTGCTATCCTGGTCGCGGCTCCAATTGTTACTTCCCCCCCCCCGGTGTCGCTGCGCCAATCGTGACGTCTGCTTGGCCGCGCCCG